TCCTCAATATTGAGTACTTTCAAGTCATATGTTTATCCCCGTTGAAAACTTAACCTATATTGTCATCAATCACCAAAAAGGGGGAGATTGTAAGTGCATCTAGTGCTCCTTAGTGATTTTGGTGTATTGAAGACTTATAGGTTAAGGGAATAATTTGTTTGTGAGTGTACACAGGCTCTATAAGTCAATGAGGAGTTTGATATTTACAGTGAAAGTCGACCCCTAAAAATGAATGTCTTCGGCTGAAGACTTTGGTTCTCCTGAAGACTTTGAAAGTGAAGAAATTGGTGTGACCTTGAAGACTTCGATATTCATGCGAGGAATCTGAAGCATGAAGACTTTTGTTTTTGTAGTTTCTTTTTCTCCTTCTTGAGTCATAGGTAACACCATAGTGTTAAAGGGGGTCAAGGTAATACTAAGGAAACTAATTTCCAAGTGATGCTCATCTCAAAATCCTACACCTACCCAATCCTTCGAGTGAAGCCATTGTAAATCCCATATCAATTCAGTCGATTACTTCAGTGACAGAGACGAAGATCTTCTGGTTTCTGAGGAATTTATTCTGACTGAGGAGTTAGGAATTCACCAGTGTGGATTGCCTACACAGTGAGGAACATGATAGCCCTGAGGAATTCGAACCTCAGATATCCGATCGTTGCTGAGCCGCGCGCCAGCTGTCGCAAAAATATCCTACCACCTAACGGTCATATCAGCCAAGGGCGTTTAGGTCTTATCATATCGGGCTGCTCCCTAGGCTATAAATAGCCGCCCCCTACAACCACTAGCTGGTTGGCTGCTCCGAGAGAAACTGACACTTGTCATGTGAGAGCATCCCATCCTCCGAGGACTTTGAGCGAAAATCATCAAGTGAGGAAAAACCCAAATCCCAAACCCAAACACCTACAAACCCAAAGTGATTGAGCATCACTGAAGAGATTGTTCATGTGTGGAACCGACGCTTGTTACCTTTGAGGACTGTGTATCCTCCAGACGGTTAGGCGTCATGGTCTGAGCATCCAAGAGGAATTGTGAATTGCCGAGTGACCAAGTCTGTGAAGGTTTGAAAGTCACCTGTAAAGACTTATCACTACTGTTGGACAAAATTTACGTAACCTTAGCTCAAGGAGAATACGGTGAGGACTGTGTGTCCGGGACTGTGTGTCCTCGAGTTTAAATACTCAGCCGCTCCAACCAAACGTACAACTGTCACAGCAGTTAGAACTGGTCTACCAAATCATTGTCTTCATCAAGCCTAGTGGTTCTATTTTCTCAACCCTTTCATTTCCTCAGTTATGTGTTGATGTACCTGATCATTATTGTTTGAAGACTTTGACTGAAGACTTTCTCTAAATTCCTCAATCCTAATTCTTCAGTTTGTTTGTCTTCATCATGCTTATCCTGTGTTTACGCTTTCTGTACTCTGTGTTTGTCTTTCATTTCATCATGATGACTATGTTGTTGTTCTGTTATGCTTATACATGAGTACTTATTCCGCTGCATATAGTTCTTCGCTTAGAAATTTCCTCACCCTGAAATTCCTCAGTGAAGAATTCATAAAAATCGCCTATTCACCCCCCCCCCTCTAGTCGACGTAACGCACTTTCACAAAGCAAAAAAGGAAATAATGAAAGCCAGGGAAATGGAAAGGGAAAAGGGGGGGTGCGTATGGGCGATGCTACCCTCCCTGGTGCATAAGGCGTTGGGGACGAGTCTTCGGCCCTTGATTTTTTTTTATAAAAAAGAAAGAGAATGGCCCTGGATAGTTTTTCTTTTAGCAGAAGGCCTAGGATTGTTGCATGGCATGTTGGAGTTGTGAGAGACAAACACAATGAGGCTGCATTGTGAGGCCCATGTAGCAACCAGATGTCTGTCAACCAGGTAAGGCCCTGTTTTGTTTAAAGAAAAAAGGAACGGACCTGTTTTGTCTAAAGAGAAGGTACGACCCAGTTAGGCGAAGCACCCATGTGCAAAGCTAAAAAGGAAATAACGAAAGCCAGGGAAATGGAAAGGAAAAAGGGGAGGGGGTGCATATGGGTGATGATACCCTCCCTGGTGCTTAAGGCGTTGGGGACGAGTCTTCGCCCCTTGTTTTTTTTTTAAAAAAAAAGAGAGAATGGCCCTGGATAGTTTTTCTTGTAGCAGAAAGCCTAGGATTGTTGCATGGTCTGTTGGAGTTGTGAGAGACCCACACAAGCCAGGGAAATGGAAAGGAAAAAAGGGCGTGGTCGGCAGGATTCGAACCTGCGCGGGCAAAGCCCACATGATTTCTAGTCATGCCCGATAACCACTCCGGCACGACCACCTGTTTGTCATTTGCTTCACCTACAGTCTCCTCATTCCTTGGCTTCGAGCCTTCGACAGGGCAGCCCATGAATTAAATAAGGCCAACTGGGCACACAAGGACAAAATCCTTGTTCTTATCCACTGCAGATACTAGTTTGTACTAAAATACTAACCAGTCCATTCGCCGTGAGGCTGTCATGTCATGCCACGCTGGATCCCATCCCATGGCCACCACAGCAGAAGAGTTCGCGCGGACGCCTGGGCACGGCGCATTCCTGCCACACGTACGCAGCGCAGGACACAGGCGGCGTACGCACGCACGCAAAGAGTCCGCGCCCATGGCTTCTTGTTGTTCCTGCGGCAGGCAGCCTGCCCCATCCGCCGCCGCTGTCCTCTTCCGCCTGTCGCACAGCCCGCAGACGGCATGCAGCTTAACCGACACACGACCCAACCGAGCAAGCATCTTCCGAGTAAGAAAATGGCGTCGGCAGCATCTCGAGAAGGGCCGAATAGGAGTGCCTTGCCGATATTCCCCTCCGCTCCACTCCGACGTGGCTGAATCGCTCAACGGTGGTTACTAGATTAGATTACTCCTGTAGTCGTGTCAGCGGTGAGTGAGTTGAGCGGTGCCCATCGGAGAAGAGATACGCTGTCCCGTCGTCGGCCGTCGCGCCCCGTCTTGTCTCGCGTCCGACATGTGTACCGCATGGCAGCATCTCCTCCTCCATAAATTTTGTTGCCGCCTGCCACGGCTAGCTAGGTCGCCAGTCTTCACGACGTCCCTATCACGGAGTATATATATATATATATATATACTACACATACGTACTTACGTATACTTGGTCTCGCCAACGGGGACTCGGCTCCTCTGACGTACTGCAGGGTGCAGTTGGGCCACTGACAGGTGGGCCCGAAAGCAAGTTGGCCCACCTGTCAGTGACCCAACTGCACCCTGCAGTACGTCAGGGGAGCCGAGTCCCGCCAACGGGCCGGCGATTCGATTTGAACGGGAGCCGGCCGCTCAAATGGGATGGGAGTATATACCCTGGCTGCCTGGATTGCTTCTTTCTAACGGGAAAAGGCAACGGAAATACTAACGCTCATGTGGACGTTTGCATCTCGTCACACGTGTGGATCCACGTCTGTCTATGGTTGCACGAATTTTGGCATGTTTATGGTGTCACGTAGGATCGGGCTGGTGTGTGATCATTCATCCGGTCGCTAACACGTTCATTTCATCACACGGGAGCCGGTGTGTGGGCGTTTAGCAGTTCGTCCACACGTCTGTTTTTACTCACGCATAAGGGCTTGTGCATGTGTATTTGTCATCTCGCCCACACGTCTGTCTCCTCTCCCACATCCAAAACTGCCAGTTGCATATGTTTTGCAATATACATGGCAACTATTCTAGTGTGCTTGTAAGCATATGGTAACTTCCTTCTTTTTTATCCGAACATGTCAGTTGTCATGTGTTTTTACAGGGTACGCGGCAACTGCCCTAGTGTGCTTGTAAGCAGATGTCAACTCTCTCTTTACTCGAAACATGTTATTTTTTGATATACGGCAACTGACTAGTGTTACTAGGTGGCAACTTTTAAGGTTTTCAAATAATGACAATATAGTAAAGCAGACCATACACGACAACTGCCCTAGTGTTAGTAGGTGGCGCTCCTAAAGTTTTTAAATCATGGTAACTACAGTAAACCAGACCATATATAGCAACAGCTGCAGTTATTCAAAATGGCATCTGGCAGTTGACCTGAGATGACAACTGCGGTTGGCAATTGTAGTTCAGCGACATGGCAATTGCAGTTAAACGGACATTGAAGAGGGTCCGGACCATGACAACTGCGGGTACGCAGGGCGTGCGGGATCGTGAGGTAGGTGGCTGAGAGAGGTCGTGTTGGCGTTATCCATTTTGTCCACACGTAGGCGTGTGAGAGGGACCATGAAAAAAAAAACGTGTGGGCGCTAGTTATTTTGCTCACACGTAGGCATGCGGGTTGATCCTCTTAGACACTACAGAAAACGTATGGGCGTCCAATGGCAACTATGATGAATGATGATTGGAGGTCATGATCGCTTGGGTCCTGCGTTGGTCGCTTGCTTGGCGTTTGCGTGCGTGTCTCCCGTGATCTCGACGAGATCTCGATGAGGCCAGCCGGGGACCTGAGGCGCCGAGCTGATGAGCCGCGGTTGCGTGTCGTCGGCCACCTAGTCGTTGTGCGAGATCAGCATCGCCAAGTGCGAAATGCAGGCAGCGGCAGCCGACAGAGACAAAATGACAACGATTCAATTCGGAGCGCGCAACACCTGACCTACCTGCAGATCATGCCATGCCATCTTTTAAAGTTAGGCAAACAAGCTCGCCATAAATAATCATATGCCATCCGTCAAATGAATAATCGTTGCCATCTCATCATCGTCTGACACTGCGTCCATATACATCCATCCATCGGACCCCAGATAAGTTTTTATTAAAAGAGGATAAATAAACAGAGAGAGAGAGAGTATTAGACAAGTCGCTGTCGGCGGGCCCCGCCGTGACCTCCCCTCACGACCGCGACCGGCCCCCGTTTGAAAACCGCTTTGCTCCTTCCGCTCCGCTCCACCTCGGCCGGCCCAGGAATCCGAGGCCACGACCCGGCTTTCCTTTCCACATTCGTTCGACATTCGCGTCTTCCGCTCTGCCGGTCGGTCGGTCGGCGCGGGTCCCGATGGCTGCGGCCGCCGAGGGGACGAGCAGGCGGAGGATCCTCGACTACCTCAACGACGGCGAGGAGTTCGGGGTCGCGGGGCCCTCGTCCGCCGCCCCGGCGACGCCCAGGGCGCTGGCTGCGGCCAGGTCGCTGCTGCCCAGGTTCCGCTGGGCGCGGCTCGCCAGGCTCGGCGGCAAGGCCCGCGCCGGCGACGGCAAAGGGCGGCCGCCCACGGCGGTGGTCGATGACGAGATCGTTGCCGCGGAAGAGGAGGGCGAGCCGCGGGACGCCTCGGGTGCCTCTGCCTCAGGTACGTTCGTTCGTTCGAAATCTCACTTCGCAGTAGTATTCTGGCAGTCGATCGAATTTAGTTTGTTGTCGAGCCCGTCACGAACAATTTTCCGATTCCAGCGGCGGCGGCCGGCGGCGGCGGCGAGACGACGAGGCCGTCGGGCCTGGGCGTCGGGCTGAGCCTGGTGTTCCTGCTGGCCAAGACGTCCGACGAGTTCAACAAGATGGCCAGGGTGAGGGCCGAGATGGAGGCGCTGATCAGGGACTTCAAAGGCCAGCAGGCCATGGCGACGGCCAACGCCCGCGGCGGCGACGACGACGCGTCGGGGGCCCTCAACCCCGAGTCCGCCGCGTCGAGCTGCCTCACGGACGGGAACGAACCGCAGGCCGCGACCGCCCGGTGCGAGGACCATCGTCGCCGTCACCATCGGCATCAGGTCGCCTCGTCCTCCGGCGCGGAGATGGAGGCGGCGAGCCGCAGGAGGATGGACGTGCTGGAGGAGGAGTTCCACGCGGAGCTCGAGCGCGTTCGCGCCCGCTACGGCCAGGACACGCCGCCGTTTTCGACGGGAGAGGGGCGCGACGAGGGCGGAGCAGAGCCGTCGGACGACGACGAGGACGGCATTGCCGACTGCCGGCAGGGATTCGAGAGCGACCTCGGCGACGACGACGACGACGACCATGGCAACAACAACGACGAGGAGGAGGGGGACGACGACGACGACGCTGATCGGTACCACGGCGTCTCGGCCATCGAGCTGGAGAGGAGGCTGCACGAGCTGCTCCACCAGAGGAACCAGGAGCGGATCGAGGAGCTGGAGGCCGCGCTGCGGCGCGCCGAGAAGCGGCTCTTCGACAAGGAGATGGAGGCGTCCCTCTGGAAGGACACCGCCAAGATGGCCTTCCGCCACGACCACCACCACGGCCACGACGACGACGACGACTCGCCGTAAGCCCCCACCTCACCTCACCTCACGAATTAATTCTCCTCCACGCAAGGTGGAGGCGCTCGTGACTGCTCTTCCACCACCGAGTAATTCTCTTGACTGTTCCTTCTCCCTGAAACTTTCCGTGCAGATGAGGAATTTCGTGCAGTGCTTTTTGTCGGCATTATCATGGATCGGCCGTGCATTACATGATTACAGATGAGGCCATTAGCCATGAATGAAGGTGAATTTTGGGACTTTTAATGCGTGAAGTGGAGGCAATCGATCAGTTAGGATGGGCCTTGTGTACAATATGTTACTGTTAGCAACTTATAGCTGGAGCTGTTCATACCGCCAGGGTTTAGAGTCATAGCACTGTTGTAGGTTACATGGGCATGGCTTGGAATAGGATGGAACAGGATATATAGGATATGCTCAGCTAGCAGCCTCACTGATTTTGTGATCCATGTAATGCTACCGAGTTCAGTGTCTGTTCATGCATATCACTCATATGCAGTTTCAGAATTAGTACAGCAATTTTACATACTCATATGCAGTTTCAGAATCAGTATATCAATTTTACAGCCTGCTCGCAGTGCTTTTGCCAATTACACTTTACATTGACGGTTTATTCGAGAAATCGCCGATATTTTTATTAGATATATTCGTTGGAAATGACTTTGCAGCATTTCGTATTCTGGAATCGCTAAAACGCGGGCGGCTGTTTCTTTTAATTTCAGTTAATTTTTTTTCTCAAACCGGTCACTTCTATGAAGTTGTGTTTTAGTAACTATTTTTGCTAGCATCTGTTATCTGGTGTTTTATACGCTGCTTTGAGCCGAGTGCTCTTTGCCCATTTTAAAACTGCCTTTAACAATAGAACGGGAACGAATTTTACAGGATTTTCTTTTGGCATTTTCTTTTCCTACTGCTGCTAGCTCTTCGGATCAAAGGATTGAGATTACGATTTACGAGTGCTTTTATGTATTGATATCTTACACGGTTACACCCCAAATTTCTGCCAAATGGTTAGGCTCTACAAAGGTTTCTTGTTTTTGGCATAAACCTTGTTCCCTTTTGTGCCTGCCAAAATATCTGTCGGATCCACAATGTGAGTTTGGTACCCCCTTTTGTGTCTGCCCAATTCTGTCGGGTCCGTAACGTGAGTTTGGTGTTGGGAGTCAATCAGCACCGCTCCTATGCCATTTAAGATCCGAACGGCAAGTCGTCTGCATGTTCCAAGTGCTCCTTGCCCGTTTATTGCTACCGATATACCCGAAAATATGCCAAACCTTGTGTAGTTATTCATTTGGGAAAGACTTTCATAGGAGTTCTGTATCGTTTTACACTGGAATGTATTATCCAGAACAGGGGTGATGATATGTGTTGATACTCAAGTTGACGAGTTGAGGATGATCCTGATGATCACCCTGAGCAATTCATTCTACTCATCACCAGTACTACAGGGTTACAGTCTTGCAGATGAAGCCATGGAAGGTGAATTTTGGGACCTGATACATGAAGTGGGGGGCAGTCAGTGGTAGCTTCGGATGGTCTTACTGTAGGATGGGCCTTCTGTACAATATGTTACTACTGTTAGCAATTTACTATAGTGGAGCTGTTCGTACGACCAGAGTTTAGTGTTGGCACTGTAGGTTCAGTTACTAACATGAGAACTGTTCAGATTAATACAGTATATGTTCAGTTAGTAGTACTGGTTGTCGGCTCCAAGCCTCCAACCATGTGAATTTGGTATTTGTAGCTCATGTGTATCAGCTCGTGTGCGATTTCAGAATCTGGACGGCAAAACGTCTGCCTGATTCAACTGTTCATTGGCCATCCGAGGAAAAAAAATTGTACCGTAGGTAGCAAAATGGGAGACCACCTCGAGCGCGTGACACTTGGCATATACGAATCTCAAAGCAGCAGCACCTTACTCAGTCGTCCTCATTTCTCCGTTATCAAATACTCCCTCTGTCCCATAATATAAGAACGTTTTTGACACTAGTATAGTGTCAAAAGCGTTCTTATATTATGGGACGGAGGGAATACTTGCAAAAAGGCCCGTGCGTTGCAACGGAGGAAAAATAATCATAATCTCCAATGGCTATGACCACATTTTGCTGCATCACCGAGATACAACATCTCTCTCTTTCTCATTGCGTGTG